GAGCCTGGCTGTTTGAATTATTAGATGTTCTCTAGGGCAGGGGGAGTTAAAGATCTAAGAGGCACTGCTTATATAGGTAGATGCTTGAAGTAATTTGAGAGATGCCAGAAAGCATCGAAATGTGCTTCCCTGCCTCCTACCATGAATTCCAGAGTATCACTTTTCAGTATTTTATTAGGGACTCACAGTAACATGACAGTCCCTAGGAGAAGACACAACAGATTATAGTGAGCACCTATTCAAGTACCCAGTAAAATGAACAAGAAAAAAAACATAGTCATTAAGATTCTTGTATTTCAAAAAAAAAAAAAAAACTTAAAAGTAAATAATTCTAACGCAGCAAGATATTATAAGATATTATATTTTATTGTAATAAGATATTACAATATCAAGTTATTCCCCATTCAAGAAATATGTATTAAAATCTGCTTTATTATAGGTTCCATCCTGCTTTGAGATGGAATATAATGGTACATATGACCAACAAACTCACTGCCAGCATAAAAAGCTTACATTCTTATCATGATGGCGAGGAAGGGAGATTTTGTTCTAATGTGAACAAATAAATTTGACAATTTCAGATAATGATTATTGCTATGACATCAAAAATGATGATAGATTGAAACAATTTTGCATAAGGAAATCCCAACAAGGGACAGCAGAAGATGAGCAGGAACTACCATGCAAAGTCTGCAGAGTAAAACTCCAGGCAGAGGAGATGACAAAAGCTACGGCTTTAAAAGGAGGCCATGGCCTCAGCAGGCATACAGAACAAAGATAAGCCAGTGTGGGAGGAGTTTAGCCTGCAAGATAGGTTAGCAGGAGGGTAAGCATAGTCTTATAGGCTCTGCCAGTTTATAACGGGCCCTGGACGTGGTGGTAATCACTTGCGTTTTTCTCCTAACTGCAACTGAAAGTCATTGGGGAAGGGATCTGACCTGATTTACATGTTTTTCAAGGTCAGTTTGTGGAGAAATGATTGGAAAGTGTGATTGCCAGTTATGAGACTCATGCATCCACCCAAATGAGAAAGAGCTGTAGTTTGAGTTGGGTGGTATGTACAAATGTGTGAACAGACTTGGGATTTATTTTGGTGGGAGAATCAAGAGGACCTGTTGATAGATTGGTCAAACTTGGGATGATTAGATAAAAAATGGTAACATCTATAGTGAGAAGCCACATCTCAAAACTCGTATCATGTACAGATCTATGGTTAGAGTTTCTTGGGATCTGCCTATTTCATTGTTTTTGAATATATCATCGAGGAGTAAGGGGGGCAGTGAATTGCTTGAAGATTATTAATGTCTAGAGGTTGGATGGAGAAGTTGCTGGCATAGGGCATTGGAAAAGGCAAGCAATGCTGGATGAGATGTTGCAGAGGTTAAGCAAGACAGGTGCAAGAGTAAGAGACCTCAGCAAGTGAACTGCTGCTGAGTCACTGAAGACAGAGCAGTGACTGATGGATTTGGCACTGAAGACCATGGGTGACCTTGACCACCTAAACTTCAAAAGGGAGAAATGGATGGAAACTCCAATACCCATCCTGACTGTGACAGTCAGCCAGCCCAAACTCTTTGCCACTCCTGAAAGATCACACCCTATGGATTTATACCTCAGACTTATATCCCAGCTCTTCTACTTGCTACCTAAGTAAATTTGGCAATTTGCTAATCTTATCTGAGTGTTTATATAAAAGGGAAACTTCAGTTTCTTCCTTTGTGTAAGGGAACACTCAGTTCTTCCTTGTGTTTCCTCTCTGAGTGGCCTCTGTCTCACGTAGCATACTTCATTTCTGGGCAGCAAGTGTGGTGTGGCAGAGGGTTCGCAGCACTGAGCAGCTCTGCAAATACCAGCTGGGTGTCCTGCACTTTAACAATTTTAACACGATCTTCCTAGATAGTGTTAGATCAACACTATCAAACAAAATAAATCCCAAGTCTGTTCACACATTTGTACCTACCACCCAACTCAAACTACAGTTCTTTCTCATTTGGGTGGATGCATGAGTCTCATAATTGGCAATCACACTTTCCAATCATTTCTCCACAAACTGACCTTGAAAAACATGTAAATCAGGTCAGATCCCTTCCCCAATGACTTTCAGTTGCAGTTAGGAGAAAAACGCAAGTGATTACCACCACTCAGCCTTACAAAACTGATCCCCGTGCCATCCCATTCTAGAGGCCAATTGCATGTAGTAAGTCCTGTTCTACAACATCTGTCTAATTTGGCTACACATTGGAGGTTCCCGTAATCTAACTAATTAATCTGCTAGAAATGTTTGAAGAACTAACTAAGCGGACTATTTATCTTTTCCAGTTTATTAAAAGATATGATTTTAAAAATAAGATAAGGAGATATAAACAAAGAAGTCTGCAAGGATCTAGAGCACAGAAGTCATCTCCCCTTCAGCTTGGGGTGTGTTTATCCCACCCCTTCCCACATACCTTTTCCTATGCATCGCTACCATCTGGTTATTCTTGAGTTACATTCTTTTATAGTAGACCAGTAATTTAGTAAGTAAAACATTTCTCTGAGTTCTGTGAGCCACGCTGGCAAGTTAATCAAACCTGAGTAGAGATTTTGAGGGCCTCTAATTTATAGCAGCTGCTTAGACGCACAGGTAACAATCTGGGCTTAAGACTGGCATCCTGAAGTGGAAGGGGAAGTATTAGAGTAGTGAACTAGAATCCTGTAGAATCTACTGCTATTTCTGTGTAGATAGCATCAGAATTAAGTTGAAGGACACCCAGCCAGTGTCCTGAGAATTGTTTGCTGGTATAAGGAATCCCTACACATTGGAAAATGCATCTCAGAATACCCATTCAATGTAGCTGCTTTTTCTGTAAATTGGGGATAATTATCATACAGCCTCACCCTGGGTGCTGTTAGGTATCTGTAAAAGCTATAGACACTGGCCCTCCCTGGTGGCGCAGTGGGTTAAAGCACAGCACAGCACTGAGAATCTAAAGCCGCTTCCGCACGAGTTCGATCCCCACCTGCCCCGGAGGTGACCACATGGCCTGGCAGATCTCTCCTGACCCGCCCGCTGCTCCCCTCAGCAGTGTACTTCATCGATCTGCCTGTTCTGTTCCCCACTCTGTCTCTGGTGAAGCCTCTCACCGCCCCTGAGCCTCTGGCCTGTACCCCAGTTCTGTATGCACAAATAAATAAATCTTAAAAAAAAAAAAAAAGCTATAGACACTGGAAAGCAGTGGTATCAAGAAGTGCTGACTTGATCACTTTTATCCTGTCTGTCCTATGTGGTTTGCCCAGTCCTTTCTCTGTGGGCAGTTTCCCCTTTTCTCTGTAAGTGGCACTTCTGCTTAGTAAGCCCAGACAGAGAACTACCTGGCCCCAAACCGCACAGAGTAAAAACTGCAAGTTCTATGAATTGTTTGTGCTAATGACAATCATGCAAAATATTTTGCAGTGTCAGTAGAAATTTTCAAGAATTGGGCTCTCCCTGGTGGTGCAACAGGTTAAAGCACAGCTCTATGAGGCTCTTCGCAGCCACTGCAGCATGAGGTCGATCTCTGGCCAGAGAGCTGATCCACATGGTGTGGCAGACCTCTTTCCTGACCTGCCCGCTGCTCCCCTCAGCAGTGTACTTCTGTAGATCTGCCCTTTCTGCCTCCCACTCTGTGTCTGGTGAGTCTTCTCACCCTGCTCTCCTGTATCCAAGTTCCTGTATGCATAAATAAATAAATCTTTAAAAAAAAAAAAAAACTTAAGAATTAAAGCAGAGGATGAAATGATTTGTGTTCCTTCCTTCTCTCTCTACGAGAATACCCAGGACACATATTGCTCCAGAATTATGGAAGGGCTAAAATAGGCTCTTTTTCTTATTCTTAAAGAGCAGGATGCCCTTTCTATAACTTACCCAGGAATTACTCATTGGGCATTTTCTGTTGTAGGTATCACTCTCTGTACTGCAGAAATGTCACTCCAAGAAAATCAGAACTATAAGCTTATTCAAAGCTTTATTGAATATGTGTTATAAAAGGGCTGTCTGATTGACATATCTAGATACTCAGTACATCTGAAAATTTCCAAAACCTAGAGCAATCTTGCTTTTCTTAAAACCCGAAAGAAAAGACTTAAGTTTATTTCTTCCAGTACTTCTGAACTTCATTCACAACATCCACTTTAGACTAGTTCTTTTGCTTGAAGAATCTGAGATATGCTTTAGTCCCAGCTCCCTCTATTAAAAAACAACCTTCCAGTAACATCACTGTGAGGGTAAATGGAAAAAACATCAGACTTAATACCAGAAAATCTGTTCAAATCAAGACAAAGACACATCCCAGATGTGTAAAAGATAATCAACATGTCTCTTTTCTTCCTCTGAAAAATCAATAAAACAAAACTTAGCCAAACCAAATTAGCTATAAAGTACTGTAATTTGTAAAATATAGTTATATAAGTTATAATTTATAAATTATAAAAGTGTAAGATGGTATTATCATTGAAATATTAAGATAGTACATTTATTACTCATCAAATACTTATTGACATGACCATAGAGAAGGCATTTGGGTTGGTAGTAACCATATAAATCAAATATATATGTATACATACACTACATATATATATATATATATGGGGACTGTATTGGGCAAGGTGATTCTGTGCCTGGGCTCATTAGGGTCTTAGGCTCACTACTACTACTACTATATACGTGTATACACACACACACACGCACACACACAGATATACATGTATACACACACTACATATATATTATGTGTGTATATATGTATACATATATAATGCATGTATACATATATTTGTGTGTATATGTATTGTGTGTATACATATACATATATGTATACATATATGTAGTGTATGTATACATATATATCTGTGTGTATACATACACAATATATAGTATACATGCATTATATATGTATAATATATACATAATATATATGTAGTGTGTGTATACATATATATCTGTGTGTGTGTGTATACACGTATATAGTAGTAGTAGTAGTGAGCCTAAGACCCTAATGAGCCCAGGCACAGAATCACCTTGCCCAACACAGTCCCTAGTATGAGCTACAAGTTCAATGAAATGTCTGTAGTAAGAATAACTGATTGCAAAGCTTGCTTTGCTGTAGTTCTGAGTGCTTGGCAGTCAGAAAACTCACTCAGATAGGGTGGGAAGTATCAGTGATCAAAGGATCTCCTGATACTGCAATTATCTCACTGCAGACACAAGAACAATTTTTAAAAAATTAAGTTTTTCCTCCATGAGGTAGTTCACACAGTGCCCTACATTGGTTCCAGAGTCCCAAGCCCCTTAAGGTAGTTTCTCAATCTTGATCCCACTGATATTTCAGGCTGGATAACCCGCCTGTATGGCTGTGCATTATAGGATGTACACTGCAGTGTTTAGCTGCATCTCTGGTCTCTATTAATTGTGCATCATAGAATGTTTGCCTTCATCCTGGATCTCTGTTAACTAGATACCTCCTAGATCTGACAACTAGAAACAGCTGACACTGCCAAATGACCCTCTGAGGCTACAACTGCCCCCAGTTGAGAACTACTGCTAAACAAGACCAGTGCATGTGGTTCTAGAAGAAAAGGAATGCATATATTATTGCCTCAATATATATCAATGCTCATCAAATTCTGGAAGGATTTATGAGGTGAAGAAATGAAGGAGCCACTTGACATGCATCGGCACTTCCTTTAGGGGTTCATTCAGAAGCATTCTGGGCCAGTAACTAAGTTCTCGTGAGAGATATGAAAAATTACATCCACGAAACAGTGAAATCTTAGTGCAAACTCTCTGAGCCTCAGGTTCTTCAGTTCTTAAAAGGGGACACTAACCCTCTCTTGCAAGGCCATTGGGAGAGTTACAGGTGCTAAAAGATGTAAAGCATGAGGTCTTTGTCCCTACCAGTTTGGTGTAACTGACAAGAGGCATCTTCCCAGCTCCTGAAACAAAGTTTTACTCTTAAAAAGGACGAGGGGCAAAACATGTGTGTTTCTTCTGTCACAAATAGGCGGGGAACACTGGGACTGTGCCAGCAATACACCACCCAACTCAACCTTACATACAACCAGGTCAGCTAAGAGGCCCAGCGAGATGTGAAAGCCCAGGATCACACAGCTGGCAGCAATCCGCCACCCCATCTCCATGACGCCCGGGCTGGTTTGAAGGGTTACATATGTAGAAAATGCTTTCCATATTCAGTGTCGTGTAGTCTTTCATAGACAAATAAGAACAAATCTGGAAATTTTTCCTGAAAATACTGGGAAGGTTCTCCAATGATCGACTTCATCCTGAAATGACACACAAATGATTTGGCATACCAGCCCCAAATTTCTCCCCCACCCCCTCTTTATATGGTCCAAAGTATCTATATGGTTCACCACACTCTTTTTTCACTTGATCCCTATAGCAGAATGAAAAAGGACGGATTCTGATACAGGAAGATTCATTTCCTGACTCTTCAACTAACTGCAAACTTTTGGAATTTAATCCTTCAGAACCTTGATTTTATCAGCCATATAATTGGGATAATATAATTCCACATCTCTTACTTACAGTGTTCAGATTCCTGCCAATGAGACTTTTTTTGTGAATTGGCAGCAAATATTTTGGCAAGAAATGCTAACATGGTGGAGTGTACATGTTGGGGGCTTGGTGAAGTGTACATATTGGGGGTTTGGGGTGCTTCTTAGAGTTTTATAATACAAACTTCACTGTCCCCAGATGCTTACTCCCTCGCTCTTTCACACAGGGAGTCACTAGTCCTCTGTTCAATAACTCAACAGAAGCTAAAAAAGCAACGGAGTGCTCCTGGCCAGGTCCAGAATTCATTGTAAGACTTTGTGATGATCCTTTTCCAAACAGAGGGGAAGAATCACTTTTCTTTCATCAAAATAAACTTTCTTCATTCCATCATATAGCAGATATAAGTATAAATTTTTTTTAAATCATCTCATTTCCTGTATGACTCAAAGGATGAAAACAATACTTACTTTTTATTATTTTCTTCACAAATATGTTGATTTATATTCCGGATGAATTTTAGCAGATCACCCACAGTGTTCCTATACAGATTCCAAGGCTGTTTTTGTCTTTTGTAAAACCCATCCATTTTTTTCATAACATGTGTATCAATCTAAATAGTAAAACATCACACAGAAACATAAACACAGAAACATAACATAAAACCAGTCCATATGAAATGATAAATCAAAAAAGAAAAAGTGCAGATTTGAATATATACCAAAATCACCACTAACAAAGCATATTAAGAAAAACTAAATGCAGTATACCAAAATGCCAGGTGCAGTGGTGTTAGGGTGTGAAATTATAAGTAACTTCAAATTTGTGTATTGGTTTTCCAATAAGTTGTTTTCAGAAGGAATTAAAATATTAAAACATCGTCTAGAAAATGTTGGCTACTATATAGGAAATCTGTAATGTTATTCCAGATTTTACTTGGTTACACTGTGCCCTTAAGCATTTCTGTCTAGGAAGAAATGAAGCCTAGCAGCAGTGAATATAGTTGTTTTGCTTTAAACTCCTTGTCCCTTTATGCCCTATAAGTAGGTGAAGGGAAAGTTCATTCATATTAATACTTCCCTTTTTCTCTGTGCCTGGACCTGTGTAGAGGACTTCCATAAATAGAAAGAGTTTGGAATAAACAAGATGCCAGAAGGTTCCTTAGAAAGAATAACTGTTGATTAGATCAATACTTGGAGAACACTGAGGCTGCCCTGTGCGCTGTGAGAAGACACATGTGAGAAATGCCAGGGAGTGCTATGGTTGCTGCTGCTGCAGGGCATAGCAGGGTTGAGAGCCAGCCCCACGGGGGTGGGGGGCGTGGGGGTGCTCATAGAGACAGAGGTAGGTATGTGCAATCTGTGGTGAGCCCCTCAGTTTGTACCGCAACATGGCAGTCCTTAGGCAGGCACTCGCTAGCTGGGGTGACAGTAATTTCCTGCCAGATCTCAGTGGACAGGTCTAAACAGTCAGGCTGGGTTTTACTTTTAAGCACCACACCAGAATTGTAAATGGACCAATCAGGTTGGACCTCCTAGCAGTGACATTCAAGGTTTTTGAGACCATTCAGGATTGTAAAAAGACCAATCAGATTTGAGATCGACCAGCACCAAATAGCTGAAACTGCCAACCTAGAAACAGACCAATCAGCCTGAAAGGTAGGTACTCTCAAGGGGATATAATCGGGGTTTTTCAGGGCTCAGAACCCCTTCATCAGACAAATTTGCTAGATCTAGACCTTTGCATCTGATCTCCTCTCCCCACTGCTCCTGTGAATGGTGTCTCTAAAGGAGCTTTCTGTTGTTGGCATATGCCAGCATATAGCATTGGGGTGTCTCTGGCACTGCTGCCTGCTGACTGGTGCTGACTAGCACTGCTGACAGTGTCCACTCACCTCTGAGAGCTGTCCACCACTTGCAAGTGTGGTGTCAGGCAACACCACACTGCCAAAGAAATGGGAGTGATGAAGCCAGCTATTATGCATGGCAGGAGGCTGCCAAGAAGGCAAGACCTGGCCTTTTTATTGATTGAATATTTTTACAGTCAATTGCTCAGGGCAGGAGAACAAAGAGAAAAAAAGTTAGAAGGAAGGGAACGTGTGGTTGGGTTATCAAGGCTTTTTTGGGAGTAAGTCTAATGATCCAGATTAGTTTTATGGCCCATGTTTGAAGACTGAAATCAAGCTTCCAACAACCACTTGTGGTTCTGATCTTATTAGCATTATTAGTATTCTGCTGATCAGTCTCTGGGACACAAAGTTACCTCTAAGTCCCCAGCTCCCCAGGCATTCCTGGTCTTGCCTCAGGACATAACTCATTGTCCCAGGTAATTAAGCATCCTGTGCTTGTTTAACTTAAGAGGAACCTTTGCAAGATCTGCAGTTTGCATTCTTTAAATTTAGGTGATTGATTGACCAAACTGCAGAGTCAGAAGGAAATTCTGTTGAAAGGGCCTGACTTCAGAAAAGGGGAGCTGAATGAAACTCAGAGGTTACACCAGGTTAACCTCTGGTTACACTCTTTCATTCCTCTTTCACTCCGTGGCTACTTACACTAGGTGAATAGTATTACAAGAATGTTAGAAAGACTAATAAAACATGTTACACAGAGCTATTCCTGGAACGACTCTCAGATCATAGGAATTGTTCATACCTTTTCCTTCCACAAGTCAAAACTTCTGGAATGGTTAGAGGCTCCAGGCTCCAGCAGATGAACGAGCTCGCTATCATGAATTCGTTTCTTGATGTCATTTTCATTCCCTACTTCCCCCAGGACCCTACAGCGACTGTAGATGACAGAATTATCATGATCATTTCAACCTTTCCAATCTTTCCAGGAAGAGAAAAATCACTTATTTTTGGTTTTGATAAAGGTAATAGAGCCATGTCTCTAAAAACTCTGCATGATAGGAAGAGAAAACCAGAATCCAAGGAGTTAAGTGAACACTCCACACAGCCAAGAAATACAAACTAAGAGAAAACCCTGGGTCTGCTGAGCCCTGACACCTCCTCATGGCACTTCACTGCGACAGTCAATTTACCTGCTAACTTGTCTGGCCAGAGGGTTCCCAGGTTAAAAACTACTGTGAGATATCTTTGAGGGGGTTTCCAGATGAGATGAGCGTTTGAATCAATGAATTCAGTAAAGCAAACGGACTTCCCCATGTGATCCTTTGAGCATCCAAATAGAACAAAAGGCAGAATTCGCCCCTCTGCCAGATTGCTTCAGCCTGGATATGGATCTCCTCTTGCCCTCTGCACTACTTCAGACCCTTACTGTAATCTACATGATCAGGAATTTGAACTTAGTCAAATTACACATTGGTTCTCCTGGGTCTCCATGTTGGCAGATGGCAGATTGTGGAAGTGCTCATTCACCATAGTGAATGAGTCAGTTCCTAGATTTCTTCACATATATATTCTATTTGTTTTATAAATAGATAATAGATTTTGGATATAGGTAGATATAATATAAAACATAGAATGAATAATAATAATATATAAGGAATGCATAGCATATAGTAGTGTATGTTAATTACTGATTACTAAGATAACAAATATTAAATATTACATAAATATGTAGTGCATTATAGATACGGGTATGTGTGTATGGATGGTTACCTACATCCCATTTGTTCTATTTCTCTAAATAACAATGACTAATCCATTACTGTCTTTATTCTGGAGTTCTAGGGCATTATCTCAAGGTTTACTTACCTCTCCCAACTCCAAAAGAAAGGATGCCTCAGCAGGCCACCTAGGTCTGCTAATTTTTTCTCATGAAAGATCAGACAGCGAACAAGGGCTTCAGTTTCCATGTCTGGAGAAAGTTCAATCACATTTTCATTGCTTTTACCCTTCAGTCTATTAAAAGGGATGTCTCCTTTTCTTACCACATATATGACCAGTAGTCCAAGGTCCTGCACAAAAGCCACACGTTATAGCAAAAGAAATCACTCACAAATTATCACTCTATGGGAGGTGACCTTGCAGTGACCTTGGAGGGAAGACTGGAGGAACTCCAAAGAGTTGAAGACTGGCTGCAAGAGAAGGCACATGTTTGTGCATAGTGAACTCTTCAAGACAGCTTAGGGTCCCCACAATTTAGATTTGTAAGGAGGTAACCCAGAATATTATGGTAACCTACTCAGAGGAAGAGAATTTGAGCTGGACCTTAAAGTATGTTTAGAATTTAGGTAAATAAAGGGAAGGGGAAGTATTTCAAATGAGAGGAATGTCAGTTTTTTGTTGTTGTTGTTGTTTTGGTTTGGTTTTTGGGGGGGCAGAAACTGGGACTTTGGGTCCAGTGCTAGGTTAGGCAGCTGATGAAGGGAGCTAGTCTGACTTCAACGAGACATAGCGATGGTCCAAGGAGTCAGATCATAGCAGGAAAGAAAGATCGAGAAGATGATCAGTATAGGAACCCCCATACAGACAAGACACCAATCAGGTATCACTATGTCAAAAAATAGAGATAGCATAGAAAGTGTGACCCACTGGAGAACTCTCTAATGAAACATCTTGCCCTAACAGGGTTAGAAACAATCTGGGGTTTTAATCTGCAGAGACAGGCTCTTTCTGTCTCAGAAGAAATGACTATTTCAGAGTCTCAAACTCTGTGGCAAGTTTAACCTCTTTCAAACTAGGGATCAACTCTGTCCCTTCCTGGGTGCTTCTGGAGAACTTGTTACTTGGCTCTTTTGGTAGTGTTAAGTGAGTAAGCAAAGAAGTATCAATTATTTTATCCTTAGGCAGAAACTTTTCTAAGAATTCTGGAACTATTTTGGATATACCATGTAGATGTAGCTCAAGATACAGAGTGTACTCAGTTAGTTTTGTTATTTAGCTTCTTTCCAGGGAGCAACGACAGTGAGCACTGGTGATGCCTTGAATGTGCTTTCCTTTGTGCTTACAGGAGGAATGTTCTCCACCTGGCCGTGGGAAATAAGATAATGAAGGGATAAGGAAGCAGAAAGGTTCATAAGTCAATTGATGATAGTTACCTTTAGATCTGTTTTTATTTCCTGTTCTCCAGCTCCCTTGATGCTTTTATCAAAATCTGCCAGACAAACAGCATCATTGGAATCTATGGAAGAATTTGTAGAGGTGCATTGAAAATACTCATCCTCTATAATTCATTTAAGTAAATATGTAACACAATATGCATCCATCCTGTCTGAAGGAGGCAATAATGATGCTATGTATTCGCTGCTGGCTATGCCTCAAAACACCATCACATGCACTACGGCCACTGAGTTATTAAATCTGCTCTTTGAGCTATCTGCTAAGACTAGGACTTAACTTTTACTTTTTCCAGGTTGGGAGTGAGGAAGGATAGAATAAATTTACCCAGCTCCCTATTCATGAAATTCCTGGGAGCAAAGAGCACAGATTTGTAAAGGGGTTAAGTTAAGGTTCAACCTATAGGTTTAACCAACAAGACTACAAATCCAAGACCACCTTAGCATGGCATTTCACCAATCAGCCTGACTAGCCAGCCCACTATTATCAGTTTTCAGCCATCAGTGATGTGCTTGCAATGAGTCACTGTTTCTGTGTCCTCTTAAAATTTTCCCCACTGATGAAAACCACTGAATCTTCAGAAACAGTGATGAATGGATGAGAGAGCTCAGAAACCAGAAGACAGGAGGAAAAGTCAGGGACTTGTCCTTTAAGGGATGAGTCCCACACCTGGCTTAAGAGTCTGAGAAGGAAAACTCAGTAACCCCATATAGGATGATGGGCAATGTAAGGTGCACTTCTTGAACACTTTTACTCTGAACTAAGGCATCAAAGGTGTGTGGAAACCCAGAGTCAAATGAAAAAGAACCCATCAAATTATTCCACAAGTTGGTTGGTGAGGGGAAACTGTTGGCAGAAAAGGAGAACCCAATCTGGGCTCTACAGAGTTTAGAGCCTCTGGGCAAAGCAATAAGTGGGAAATAATCCCACATATAGATATAGATTGATTGCATATTTGAAAATGTGAGCCAATGGTGCAGAGTGTTCTAAAAATGGATTACAGGAAGAGCTATATTGTTACGGTGGGATGGGGGAAGGGGGAGGAGAGAAGCGTTCCACAAGGGACAGACTTCGAGGCAGAAAAGATGAATACAGTTTGAGTCAGTGGTTGGAATTAGAAAGAGAGAATTCGAGATGAGAAATTCCCAAGGCAAAAAGGAACATGAGAAATTCTGCTCTGGTAGAAAGCAAGTCCAGTTTTCCAGAGAAGAGGGATGAGGTCAGAAAGTGGCTTGAAGGAGATTGAAGGAGAAGATCATAAATCAAGGATTGGTTTAAGTTACTTGAATTGAAAACTTCCCACCATTGTTTAAACCACTTTTAATTCCTTTTTTTTTTAATAGGCCCCAATTAATTTATTTTTAGATGCAACAGGCACTGCTAAAGTGCTATGAGTTTTAAAATTCTTACTCAAAAATTTTCTAATGCTCATGCATGGTATCTGTATTTTTATAATCACAGAAAGTTTACAGCTAATGGGCACTATTAGAATGAAATCCCCTCACTCATTCTAACTTCTGCCAATGAATCGAGAACTTCAATTCGCTTGTACTCCATTCTTCAAATTTACCCCACTCCTCACTCCCAGAATTCATCTAGAATTTTAAAAAAATTTTACAAAGAGCTGTATATGTTTAGGTTACTTAAAAGAATTAATTATTTCTGGCCCTCCCTGGTGGCGCAGCGGGTTAAAGCACAGCACTGAGAAGCTAAAGCCACTTCCGCATGAGTTCGATTCCCGCCTGCCCCAGAGGTGTCCACATGGCGTGGCAGACCTCTCCTGACCCGCCCGCTGCTCCCCTCAGCAGTGTGTTTCATCGATCTGCCTGTTCTGCTCCCCTCTCTGTCTCTGGTGAATCCTCTCATCCTCCACATCTCTAGCTTGTACCCCAGTTCTGTATGAATAAATAAATAAATCTTAAAAAAAATTATTATTTCTTTGTTCATTCTTGCTTTTCATACATCACTATTTTCTCGCAGGCTTTTCCCCCCTCTTTCTTTAGGGACATTTTATAGCATCTTTTCTTCCATTTAGGATCTCTGGGTAGAAGTTTTCCTTAATCTCTGAATGCTTAAAAGTATTTATTTTCAATAAAGAGTGACAATAATAACTTGTCTATTGTCTTACTCAGACCCAGCTACTATAACAGATTACCATAGGCTGGGTGACTTAAACGACTGAAATTTATTCCTCACAGTTCTGGATGTTAGAGATCAGCGCTCAGAGTGCCAGCAGGGTTGGGTTCATGGTGAGGAGACTGTTTCTGGTTAACAGAGTCACCTTCTTGCATTTTATTCAACGAAACTCAGAGATTAGAAGGATATGTGATTTAACAGGGTGTGTTGGGACAATCTGGGGCTTTAACTGATTTTGTTTCTCTTGAGATCACACACCACCCACACCACCCAGTGTCTCATATAATACAGTTGTCTACAGGCCTGTCACAGATGATTGGCCGGGGAAGAGGAGAAGCAAAGGTTTGATCTTTCTAGTTACTACCGCTGCAACGATGCCATTAGCTTTCCTTCCATCTCCCCTACTTCTGCCTTCTATTACACATGTGGTGCCCTCTTGCATTGCAGCCAGTTTGATGAATATTTATCTGCATTTATCCTGGGTTCCTGTCTTCCTTCAGTCCCGTTGTATCTATGCTTAGTGTGTCTGATTCTTCAAAGATTTTTACTGTAACAAATCTTATTTATTTTTATCTCAGCTATGAATTTGCTTAAAAATCGTTTCTTATCCTTGTAGGAATTCAATGCAACGAATAGCCTTCAGTGCTCACTAGGGCCATCACTCTAAGGCAAAAACACAATTTTTATTGTTCGAACTTAAGAATGGAAGGCTCAGAGAAAGAAATTCCAATGAATAAGTAGCGGACAGCTAATGACCTATGACCTTTTACATCAAGAGCATCAGTCAGAACTTGGAAGGACTTCACTCTTGGCTGAATCTTGAAGTCTCTGTCTTACTTGGTAAAGCTGTACATATTTCTGTTCCTTTTTAGTTTCCCCAGCAAAATCTCTTAAAAATAGGAAGGAAAACCACTTATACCCTGCTCTCAAACTAAAAGCCAGGCCCCTCTTGTGTTCTGCATTCCTCTGTCTCTCTTCCAGGAGCTTAGCTGCTGTTTCTGGCCTCTCAGTAGCGGAGACTTCTTTTTGCGTGCTCCTTACGCTAAGGTTAAATTTCAGTGTGTGTCTATAGGTCAGGGGTCTGCTCCCATTTAGCTCTCTAGACAAGGACCTCGCCTTTGTCAAGCATGTATAAGGCCCAAGTGACTTGCCTTCTGAACACACTGCACTAAATATTGTCAGTGTGGAATGAAGAAACAAAGACTCACAGACTAAATGGCCAGTCTGAGGTTAAAAGCTTTAACACGGTAGAACTAGCCCACAAGTCATGCTACAAGGGGTTAAAATCAAGGCTCTTTTTAAAATCAGTACAGTACTTTGCCTCCTGGGACTTCACATGCAACACAGCTTGCTCTCTTTTGTGTTGTGTGTATATTTTGTGTGTGGGGAGGGGGGAGGATTTGCACCACTGGGTGCTCCCTTGTTCTGCCTGCTTGTTGTCTATTTCACTGTGTCACATCTTGTCCTGTATCCTCCATTTTGACCTCGGTTTTACCATTAAGTTTCACCAGTGACTACCACCTTTGTTTGAAGAAAACACACCCCAGGATTCTCTGACTTGCAGTCTACTCTAGAAAGTCAAACTTCTAAAGCTGGCTCCATCTAAGACAGACCTTCATCCTTGTATTTTCCAAAGTCAACATAAGGTTAGCCTGGCATCCTCCTGGCATCCATGACCTCCTTGTGGGGTAAAGAGTTATACCTGGTACCAAGAGAGACGATGCATAATTATAAATTTATTGTATTAATGCTTGAGTTGAATACTGACTCAAGCCTTTGCTGTCTGCAACAACAACAGCAATCAATTCCTTTTGTAAATAAAGATCCACAGTTTGTGAATTCCCCCCAGCGGGGACATACCTATTAAGATGTTTTGTGGTTGCAGGTCCTGGTGAGCATATCCACACTGGTGCAGCCCTTCAACAGCTTTAAATACAGAAGAGAGGACTTTCCGGGCGAACTTATCTTCCTTCTTTCCCATGTGCTCCTCTTTGCAGTGACTGAAGTGCTCCTCCAGCGTTCGCTCGCAGAGGGCGAGGCTCACGTACAGACAGTCACTTTGCCTCTCGCTCTCGTAGAACTTCACCAAGTTACTCTTCTCCCGGCTGTTCTGCAAACAGGAGACTTCCTTTTGTCCAAGGGTACTGCCTTCATAGAATCGCTTCACAGCTACCTCCTGTTCTCCATAGAACCCCAAGTACACGCCCCCTTCAGAAGTGTCTGCAATTTTATACTCTTTATCAATAAATATCTTGAGCCTGCCAATCAGAGGGCGGTATATCTTGTGCAGCTGTTCCAGGGCCCGCCCCCAACGTGCGCTCTGAGACGTCCAGTCTTCAGCAGGAGTGTCGACACGTTCTCTGGCTCCATGATCGCGAAGAAGCAGCACCAGGGGCCTGTTATAATTGCGCCGTGCCATCATGATAAGATCGCCGCAGTCTGTGCGGGCCCCCTTGCTGCACAACATCTGGGCAATTTCATTCAGGTTTTTCTGGACGGCAACCAACAGCGCCGTGTTGCCATCCCTGTCTTTGTCATTAACATCTATTTGGGTTTGTTCCAGAAGCATCTGCACCAAATTCAAGTGCTTCTTTTCCACTGCTAGGATCAGGGGTGTCTTTCCCTCTTCTCCCCTCACTTTGATATCAACCTTATGATGCAGTAGGTGGCGAGTAACGTCTTCCACTTTGCTAGCATCAGGATTCTTAAGAGCGTAGATCAACGCATTGCTCCCCTTATTGTCTCGGGCATTGACATCTGCCTTCATGTCCTCGAGGAGGATCTGCACGATATGTGCGTGTCCTTCTTCCGCAGCACTCATGAGAGCTGTGGTCCCTCCTTTCTTAAGCTTCTGTTGATCACCTGTTGTCTTTCGACCCAAATTCACATCTGCTCCGTTATCGTAAAGGAATCTTAAGGCCTCGATGTGGCCATACATAGCAGCTTCCATGAAAGCCGTGAAGCCATTAGAATCACACTCATTGACTTTTGCTCCTTTAGAAAGGAAAAGCCTGAGCAGTTTCACATCTCCCATGATCCCAGCAATGATGAAGGGAGTGGCCTCATTCCTCTTCTTCAGACAAGGGTCAGCACCGTGACGAAGGAGAAGATCCACAATGTCCTCCCTGCAGTTCTGGACTGCAATATGTAGAGGTGCCCAGAGCCCAATCTTTTCCTGGAAATTGACGTTAGCTCCCTTTTTCAGCAATTGCTGGACCAGTCCGATGTCTTCTTTTTGAACAGCTTCTATCAACAAGAGATTCTCCCTTTGTCTGCTGGAGGACATAAGTCCCTCCTGAGGATTGCTGTGGCTGTTGGTTTCCATAATGGTGAGTATCACTGGCTACGGCCTTTTGCCTTTTTTGAGAAAATGAAAACTTGTCTCTTTAGGACTTAATCAAAGAGACCTGGAGTTCTAAGAAACTCAGTCAGGGTAAACTGGTCTGGCTGAAGGTCAGTAGCACAAGAAGGGCAATATTTTGGGAGTCTTCTGATGTTTTACCTAGAGACAAGAAAGGTATTTTGTAATTTGATAGTAATGATAAAACATTTTGAACTGGGAAAGTTAATTTTATGATCAAGTCTTTCAAATACATCAACTATTTCTTAGGGAAATTTTCATTAAAAATATTATGTATCTATCTAATTTAAAAAAAAAAAGATCAATAGTTCCACTGCCCATTGCTAATATTTTAGTGTTTCTATAGATTTTTTTAAACTCTTTTTTCTAAAGATTTATTTATTTATTTATTCATTCATATAGAACTAGGGCACAAGCCAGAGGTGCAGGGGCAGTGAGAGGACTCACCAGAGACAGAGTGGGCAGCAGAACAGGCAGACTGATGAAGTACACTGTTGAGGGAGCAGCGGGCGGGTCAGGAGAGGTCTGCCGCGCCATGTGGTGGTCTCCTGGGCTGGGGATCGAACTCTCACTGAAGCAGCTGTGCCCAGTTTGCAGTGCTGCGTCCTAACCCGTTGCACCACCAGGGAAAGCCCTCTATAGATTTTTTTAAAAATAATTGGTGTCATGTTATATAAGTAGCATTCTACCTTGCCTCCTTTCATCTAGTGTATAAGTAATTCAATGTCATTACAAAGTCTTTTAAAGCACTTTTAGTGGCTGAAATAGCAGACAGTTGTTTCACTACCTATTGTGGGACAGTTTTTTTTTTATTACTTTTAGCCAAGATTTTTTTAGTATTTTTAAAAATTCTAAATGATGCTGTGGAAAATTTATCTTATTTTAGGCTGTTTTCTTGTAATAGCTCTTAGAATAGATTTCTCACTATAGACTGAGAAGAATTAAATGATTGGTCAAAGGATATGAGTCTCAATCTATAACTTTGTTGCAATGTCATATAAACATTCAGACTGGAAGTAGATGGCCTCTTTAAAAACAACCCAGAGTCGAGCAACATGTCAAAAGAGTGAGAACACCAGGCTTACCTCCTCCACGCATTACAGCCAAAATTAAACATAAATTAAGACACAGAGTTCCTTGCAGGATGACCAGATCACTGCTGTGTGTATAAAGAGAGACTACATGGCCAAAAGGCTAGAAAAATTGAAATTTAATTGTATTCAGTGTTACCAGGCCAGGGCAACCTAAGAGAAGGTCTGCTATATAGACTCTCTCTCTGTTGTTAAGTAAAGGTTCACATCCACATCTGGGGATGTTAGAACAGAGAGGTGTGCAGGGAAGGGAGTGAACGTTATCCGTTTGCAGGATAGAGGGTTCCGCCTCTGGGGAGGTATAAAAATAGGGGAGCGGAAAATCTGCCACAGAACACTGAAAGAGTAGACAGACACCTGCAAAGGCAGATACTACACTGACAGTAACTAGCACTCAGAGCCAGATAGTGAAACACCCCTAAACAGGGAAGCCTGAGGAACGTGGACTTCTGCTGGTGTAGAGGCTATATAAGCTGCTGACTGTTGGATTGAGCCTGTGGAACCCAAAGTGATGTGGGGAAGTCTAGATTGGCTTGCCTCTACCTCCTTTAAAGTACAGCCCTATTATGCAAATGCCTGTCTTTTCCACTCCTGACCCACCTGCTGCTCCCCTCAGCAGTGTACTTCATTGATCTGACTGTTCTGCTCCCCGCTCTATCTCTGGTGAATCCTCTCACTATGTCACTGCACCTCTGGACTATACCCCAGTTCTGTATGCATAAATAAATAAAAATATTTTTTTAATTAAAAGAAGACATGGTATAGATATACATTAGAATACAAATCAGCTATAAGGATAAATGAAAAGTTACCAAAATGGAAGGAAGTCAAGATTATTTAAAAATGAGGTGAATCAGAAAGATAAAGGCAAATATCAGATGCTTTCATGTATATGAGAAACAGAAGGAAACAAAGCAGATGAGCTAACATAGCAAAATAATTTTAACTGCCAGGCACTGAACACCTGACTGAGGTTTCTGAGGTTAAGGGAAGAAGGAGAACGGGGCAAAGAGGTACAAAGGTGGTGGCATAGGGTGGGGGAGAAATCTGATGAAAGTGGTAAATATGATATCATGTGTATTTTATCACAGTTCTCAAAAAAGAAACAAATCAACAGATGAGCTAGATAGTAAGGTGAAATAGAATAGCTATAGAATGTGAATGATTAATATATTTTTAATGGGATTTTTAAAAGAGGAGAATTTAACAAAAGGTTTGGTGTTTTAACTAATAAGATGGGTATATTAGAAGAAAACTAAGTTAATCTAAAATTAAGAATTCAGCAGATGCATTTAACATAGCATTAGACACCACAAAGGACAGGATTATGTAACAGGCCAACAAAAACTATCCAAGCGAAATAAATGGAAAAGATACACACTGGGAATACAATGAAATTTAACTTGAACACATTCAGTAGTGACAAGTCTACAGAAACATACAAAATGTTATGACCAAAAAACTGTTTCATGTTTACATAAGGTTAAAAAATCAAATTAAAGAAAATAAAGTCCAGAGTCTTCATTTAATAGGAAGATAGTTCTGCCAATTTGCTGTTCTTAATTCCATCTGAAGGTTAACCCCCCTTTATGTTTGGGGACCTGGACCTGGCCTCTCTGTGCTTAGTGCGCTCTTACTCAAAGATGGAAGCACATGGATCCTGACCTCCTCAGCTAGATGTAAGCTTGACCCCAAGTGGTATAACTTTAGACTGTTACTTCCTAATTGTGTAGCCAGTACTTATTTTAGTTTCTTGTTCCCTGGGGGCAAAAATCATTACAGTGACTCATATGCATATAAAATACACTGAAGTAAGGGGTATGGCAATTATTAAGCATTCAAGCAACAGTAAAGCTAATTAAGTGCCCTTATGAAAAACATTCTTAATAAATCCTATCCTCCCCACTCGTGTGTATATACATAGTATACAGACAGGAAAAATGGAGTTGTCAGTTTAACCCAACTGCCTTCCGTGAGAGCTGCCCCATACAGACCAAAGCATCAGAGGCACCCAACTATTATCTGAATGTTGATAAAGTTGTATCAGTCATGAAATTCACAGAGTCACTTTTTCAGCAATCTCACCACCCTGACAACCTCAACCCCCACCTACAGTGATCTAACTCATTGGGCTACATAAACTCAATGGCCTGGCAATGAAATTTTTAAACCAAATGTTTGCTTAGTTTCCTCACAACAGGTGTGAGGTGAATGGCTAGAAAAAGAAGAGTTGCAGAAACCCTGAGAGAAAATATTAGAGAATAAAATATGCAAAAACTAGAGGAAAAACATACCCAGCAAAAGCCTTGCAATGGACAAGTTTCGCTTTCAGTTTCATTTTCTCCACCTGATCAGAGCTGTCTGATAAACACGGACTTAAACATAAAATGTTGGATTGTGGCAGAACCTCAGAGAAGGCTGAAGACCACAAGACTCTCTGGGTCTGACCCTCTGCTCTGCCGGTACTGTGGGGCTCAGGGGCTCAGGTTTCACCCCCAACCAAGCTCCACACTGCCTTTCCTCTCCAGTCCGGAAAGTTAAGGAATCCTTTAAAGAACCACTTTTCAGGTTTTTTCCAACCCTCCTTTGTCTGTCCCTCTTACCTTCTACATTCAGCCTCCTCTGATGTACTTCTTGGAGAGACTGCTCTTTAAATACTGTTTGTTTCCAAAAGAGAAACCTTCCTTCCAGAGAAGGAAGGTTGAGCTGAGCCAGGGGGCGGGGCGCAGGGAGGAGTGAGGAGCAGGGAGGTGCCTACCCTGGCTGGGTGTAGCTGGAGCTGAGCTCACCCAGCACCCTCTAGAAGAAAAAGGGGCTCTTCTGTGACAACCATTGACTGACTTGATGTCTAACATCACACTGCTGATCTTTGCCTTTGGCGTGAGGGTATCAGCTCCATCCTTAACCCCTGTTCCAAATTCTCTTAAGAGAAATGAATGTAATTGGTATCTTTTATTTGTGACCTGATAAATGTGAAGCCCTAACTATCTTGCTGCTGCTGAAATAGGCTCAGAGAAGCATATTCAGCCCAAACCCTCAACTCAGCCCCTTGACGCAGCGTGGACACCCGGTTGGCAGTGAGGAAACCCGATTCAGGAGCCAGGGTATAGCTGTTTTTATGGTGACCCCAGGTAGTAGTTTAAAGACACTGAGTCTCAGTTCTGTTTCTGGCCATTTTCATAGCACTGAGATGCATAGTGTGTGGTATATAAATACTACAAGAGATGTGTTCCTGCCCTCAAAGGCTGTTGGGTTTTCCTGGGGAGACACACTTCTGAGAGGGTCCCAGCAGTGAGCAGTGCTTGGTTATGTGAGGTTCACCAGTGTCAGGCTCTCCTAGGCCTCTGCTGCTCATAGGCCCCAATGACTACCAAGCCTCTTACTATCATCTGTCTACTGAGTTTCAGACTACAAATCTTGAACATGAGCATGACCCAATAGAGGCCCCCATCTCTCCTTAACTGTTCCTCCTCCTCTTCCTCCAACTCATGAATGGCACTGCCACCTATGTCCACTCCTCAGCCTCACCCCAAGGTCAAGTCTCTAGTTTCACAGCCAAAGGAGACTAACCTCAGTCCTCCTTTCTCATCACAAGAAATGAATGGCTTGCTGCTAGCCTCTAGCCTAGTGTCTTACCTGCTTCATTGACTTATTTGAGAGTTTTTAGGACAAGTTTCAAAGTTCTTAACCTGAAGGAGGGAGAAGGAAAAGGGCAGGAGGGGTGGTCGTGGGGGCAGGGGGAAGGCTTTACAACTTGGCCACTTACTACTTAATTCAGTAGTCATGTGTCTATTCCCCAACCATACCGTCAGCCTTGAAAGTCTGGACAATATTCTATTGACCTTTCTTTCCTTTTTTTTTTTTTTTAATTTTATAACAGTTTATTTTACATTTTTTTTAAGGTGTATTTATTTGTACACACAGAACTGGGGTACAGGCCACAGGTTCAGGGGTGGCGAGAGGCTTCACCAGAGACAGAGTGGGGAACAGAACAGGCAGATCGACGAAGTACACTGCTGAGGGGAGCAGCGGGCGGGTCAGGAGAGGTCTGCCACGCCATGTGGTCACCTCCCCGGCAGGCAGGAATCCAATACTTGCGGAAGTGGCTTTAGATTTTCAGTGCTGTGCTTTAATCCGCTGCACCACCAGGGAGGGCCACTTTATTTTACATCTTTACATTTTTTTTTCCATCTCAATTGTAGTCCCCGCGGGTTTCCCATCATCAAGTCACCCATGTGCCATCACCATAACCCCTTGCACTTCCCCCCCCACCCGCCCCGGTTTTCTATTGATCTTTCAATCTCAGGCAAAGGGTATTAACAGGGGCAGGGCAATAGAGAGTGGAAAGCTATTAAATAAATGAGTTTGTTAATAACTAAAAAATGACATCTAATTCTCTGGGCAGGGACTCTTGATTTATTATACAACTTCCTATTAATGAACTTCTGATAACTTGAAACAAGTTTAGTATATTTTTTAAATATCTTAACCCATGATTCATTCGATTAGTATTTATTGAATGCTGACTATGCCGTCAGTGATTATGCTAAATCCCTGAGATCCACTAATTTACCACTCTGCAATCCCCGTTAGAGTTCTTCTTGGGAATTGTATGTTAGTGGGCAGAAACAGATCATAAATAATTGGAAAATACAATCATAACAAAATTCTGGGTTAGCAGGTGGTTTCTGACTGTTTTATTCCTCATGGGTGATTCTCCAGTGCCTCCTGTCATCATACCCACCTCCAGGACTCTGCACACACTGACTTTGCCAGTCACACTAATAGCCATAAAGAATGACAATGATGTCGATGCTAATAAAAGAAAACACATAGCTGTGTAGTACCTTCCAGGAATTGTGCTGAAACACATGTACACTGAAAATCATATAATGTAAATCTTACAAGGTGGGGCTCTTTTTGATCTTTATTGTACAGACAAGGAAACTGAGGTACAAAGTGATTAAATAATGTGCCTTATTCTAGGGTTTTGGGGCTACATTACTGAAGTTTCCTGCCCTTTCTTGTTGAGAAGCCAGATGGTGAACAAATAAGTAAGCTGTATCTAATATGTTTTATTGTGAAAATCCTACAGACAACAATAAAGTAGGCTATGGAAAGTTGAAGATGCCAGAGGTGGATTGCAAGATCTGTCTCTCCTAAATAGTAGAGACTCAAAGTCCATTATCTAACACCTAATTGTCTGTCAGTTCTTATTGCTAAGATTGTTCTCATTATTTATTTTTCATCTATTTAAATTTCAAATCTTTCCTTTTTCCTTTTCCTAAAGCAATTTGAGTAGCTGAACCAATTGAAAAAAAAAAAAAAAACTCAGTGGTAGTGAATTGCTTTAAGTTCAGCTCTTAGTATGGCCTTTTTCTCTTTACCTAAGAGCTTGATGCTTAAAGTTAATTTCAGCCTACTGACTAAAAGAAATCTTATTTTAACCCCTGCAGCCACTGGGCTGTCTTACTAGTTGTTGTAATAATTTTCATTTCTATTAAAAGTTTAGCTCTTTATCAAAATGCATTAATAAGGGACCAGGAAAATAAATAAATATACAAATACAATTAATAGGCAACTATTAATCAGAGACACAGCAGGGGAGAGGGTGACAGAGGGATCAAAACAGGGGAGGGAATGTGTTCGTACCCAAGGGACTGTGGTGATGGTGCAAAGGTGAATTGGTGTCGGGAATTCTGCGGGGACTACATTTGGGAGGAGGAAGCATGCATTGCACAAAAAGGACAAACGAAGTAAAATATAGATAAACAGGAAAAAAAAAAAAAAGAAATGAATGGCAATGAAAAAGCTTGCATGTCTTGACCTGACCACAAGGAGGCAGCAGAGGGAGGGTGAGGGGATGGGGCAGTGTGGAAAAGGCATTAATTGACCTAGGTCTGAGTGAGTCCTGTCCTCCCTGTAATGTGCTGGCTCACTTAATGGCTCAACCCTCTATTTCCTCACTTGATCTGGAATGCACCCCGAATCCAATAAAATACAACACTGGAACAGCTGTACTTAAAGAAAAGTGGACTTGCAATTCTAGTTGTGAATCTCAGTTCTTTGACACCAAAAGTGTCAGTAGTTGTTGACTGATGGCTACTGTGTACAAGGCATTGTGCTAAGTTCTAAGAATCAAATGATAATAACTAATGAGACATCAACATTATTTCAAGCACTTCATTCGGTGTTATTGATGAGGGGGCTTCCCATTCTCCTAACGCAGATGTTGGAAACCAACCCTGGTGAGGTTCAACAACTTCCAAGGTCATGCAGTAAATAAACCAAGATCCTTGCCCCAACTTTCCAACGCCACAGCTGAGACTGTGAGCAGCTCTGTGTGATGTGTTCAGTTCCATCCTATCAAGGTAAATACTATGACTCCTGATTCTGTGGTAGATAGTAGTTTAGAAGAAGAAAAAAAAAAAAACTTTGAAGAAAAGAGGTCATGATATAAAAAATATATAAAAGTTTAAAAATATGGCCCTCCCTGGTGGCGAAGCGGGTTAAAGCACAGCACTAAGAAGCTAAAGCCACTTCCGCATGAGTTCGATCCCCGCCTGCCCCAGAGGAGACCCACATGGCGCGGCAGACCTCTCCTGACCCGCCCGCTGCTCCCCTCAGCAGTGTACTTCCTCGATCTGCCTGTTCTGCTCCCCACTCTGTCTTCACACTGCTGATCTTTGCCTTTGGCGTGAGGGTATCAGCTCCATCCTTAACCCCTGTTCCAAATTCTCTTAAGAGAAATGAATGTAATTGGTATCTTTTATTTGTGACCTGATAAATGTGAAGCCCTAACTATCTTGCTGCTGCTGAAATAGGCTCAGAGAAGCATATTCAGCCCAAACCCTCAACTCAGCCCCTTGACGCAGCGTGGACACCCGGTTGGCAGTGAGGAAACCCGATTCAGGAGCCAGGGTATAGCTGTTTTTATGGTGACCCCAGGTAGTAGTTTAAAGACACTGAGTCTCAGTTCTGTTTCTGGCCATTTTCATAGCACTGAGATGCATAGTGTGTGGTATATAAATACTACAAGAGATGTGTTCCTGCCCTCAAAGGCTGTTGGGTTTTCCTGGGGAGACACACTTCTGAGAGGGTCCCAGCAGTGAGCAGTGCTTGGTTATGTGAGGTTCACCAGTGTCAGGCTCTCCTAGGCCTCTGCTGCTCATAGGCCCCAATGACTACCAAGCCTCTTACTATCATCTGTCTACTGAGTTTCAGACTACAAATCTTGAACATGAGCATGACCCAATAGAGGCCCCCATCTCTCCTTAACTGTTCCTCCTCCTCTTCCTCCAACTCATGAATGGCACTGCCACCTATGTCCACTCCTCAGCCTCACCCCAAGGTCAAGTCTCTAGTTTCACAGCCAAAGGAGACTAACCTCAGTCCTCCTTTCTCATCACAAGAAATGAATGGCTTGCTGCTAGCCTCTAGCCTAGTGTCTTACCTGCTTCATTGACTTATTTGAGAGTTTTTAGGACAAGTTTCAAAGTTCTTAACCTGAAGGAGGGAGAAGGAAAAGGGCAGGAGGGGTGGTCGTGGGGGCAGGGGGAAGGCTTTACAACTTGGCCACTTACTACTTAATTCAGTAGTCATGTGTCTATTCCCCAACCATACCGTCAGCCTTGAAAGTCTGGACAATATTCTATTGACCTTTCTTTCCTTTTTTTTTTTTTTTAATTTTATAACAGTTTATTTTACATTTTTTTTAAGGTGTATTTATTTGTACACACAGAACTGGGGTACAGGCCACAGGTTCAGGGGTGGCGAGAGGCTTCACCAGAGACAGAGTGGGGAACAGAACAGGCAGATCGACGAAGTACACTGCTGAGGG